ACTGTCACCTATGATATAAAATGGTGAATTAACATAGCTTTTTTGATTGAGGAGTTATTTTAAATCAAAATGTATTTTTCATAGGAATAATGTTTTAAAGTGTTATACTCCTTGAATAGATACTGCCTGAGTGGTAGAGGAGAAGGCAAAGTGTAGTCAGTTGGCATAGGGCACCTTATTTAGGTCCTAAAATATTAGAGAGAATCCACGTATTCAAACATGTGAAAGTGAATTATAAATATTTTATATAGTCCCAAGTGCACAAAGGATTTCGTGAATTATACTAATGAAACTTCCTTCACTAGAAGTTGAAATTTAGTAACAGGAGCATGTGCATATTTCTGTTAATTATTATCATTTGATTTTGGTGAGATTATGAATTCCTAATAAACAAAGGCATGTAGTAATTTGAACCTGAAAGATCTAAGATCCCCTCTTAAGGAAGGCAGTTAAATCAAGAGGCTTCAGTGAAAAGGACTTTTAAAATATTTTTTTATATTCATAATACCAGGAGAAGAACAAATAGGGGCGATTTTCTTTTTTCCTTTTTCTTTTTCTTTTTTTAAAAGAGAATATAGTCACTCATAGAGCCACAGTTACCTTTTCCATATTTTAAATAGCTAAAATGAAAGCATATGTAATGCAGATCCATTCATATCATAAATCCTTGAGTCTACATTTGTTATGGAATTAAGAATTTTTTTGAATTTCAGAAAAATAATACAGTGCATGTACTGTTTATTATGTAATATCTACAGCCAAACTTTTTTTTTTTTGGCAGCAAAATTTGAATAGTTGCGCTAAGTAGGAGAAATAAAGACTATAAAGAACCTCACATCAATTCAAGTCAGATTTTGCCACCAAATGAGTGTTGGGGCCAAGCTTACAAAAAACTTGTGGATAAGGAGTTATGGACCTTCGTTTGTAATCTGCTACTTTAATTTAGCATTTAATAGTATAGATATTTCATATGCAGCAATTACATCAAAGTAATTATTTGATGACTTATGTTAGTGTAACAAAATTTATTAAATCATTCCCTTAATAAGTGAAAAAATGAACTTCCAAATCTTGCTACCATAGGCAGCACTGAGAAAAATATCTTTTTGCTTGTATCATTTTGTTTTATGTTTTGAATAAATTCCTTAGAATGAGTGAAAGTTCGTTGAAAGTTTTATGCAGTATGCTACTCATCACTTTCTAAAAAGTTTGTGTAAATTTGCAAGGTCACTACAATGGATATACCAGTTTCCTACTGCTTTCACAAACAATGGGTTGGGTATAAGCATTTGTTTTTTAAAGGGGGAAATGCACTTGCTTCATCTTAAAGTTACTTTAACTTTTATTTATTTGACTATTAGTTAAGATATACAGCAATATTAATCGAAATAAATTTTTGTATAGTTGAACTTTTATTGTTGATTTGGATAGAGAACGTGTCATTTTGTCTTTTAAACAGAGTTCCCTTGCTCTGGGTTCCCTGAAATGATAAGCATCAGTCACCACAATGTGGAGCCTCTCTGAGTTTGCGCATTAGTTTGTTATAGAAGCATCTACGGAACGCTCTTACATGATCTTGGCTTAGTTTATCTTCATCATAGTTTCACTATTAATAAACTCAGTATTTCAACTGTTGAGTAGGAGAGAATCAGTACAATCTTGTGGTAGTGAGTAGTAGGCATCTTAAAAATGTTTACCCTCTTTGCCTTAGTGATTCTTCTGGGATCACTAAGGACATAATTCAGAGCACATAAAGCTATACACTCAAAGCTGTTTATCACAATATTTATTTTTAAAATATTAAAACTGTTTATTAAAAAAGGAAATAACTCAAATATTCAACATTAGGTTAGTGGTTTTATTTAACTTTTTAGCATATAAATACCAGGAATTATTTTGATCATTAAAATTTACTTACAGTTACTTAAGTGGAAGAATCGAGATGCAAACTTGTCTCTGTTATTTCAACTGTGTTAAATATACAAGAAGTTATTGGAAGGAAATATCCTCAAATGTTAGCTGTGGTTATCTCTGAGTGGTAGAATCAGTGGTTATTGCCTATGTCTTTCTTTGTACCTTTTTCTAGTTTTGAAATTTTACACAGTGAATTTATATTAATTCTAAAGTCAAGAAAAAAGCCAATAAATGCAATACACAACACTACCAGTCAAAAAACTACCTTTTTTGAAATGTGTTAAATTTCATTTAAGATATTTAACATCACATAAGTATTCAGTACACACATTACTGAAAGGGTAACAGTTTTGTTAGTCTGACTCATACATGAATAGAGTGACTGTCTTTTATCATATTTGTCCAAGAGACTCTAATGTATATACTTCAGTGCAACAGAATTGGTAACATTTATTTGATTTTACTTTTTAAGTACCTTAAATGTATAACCTCATTGGGGTTGTACAAAGAATCTTATGAGTAAATATTGATGTTATTTCAAGATTAAGCCCAGATTCCCTTTGGCCTTTATATGTTATCCATCAAAACACAAAAATAATATTTTTCTGTTAAAATGGATGATATAATGCAAAATATCCATACAGATTTGACCAAATAATCTCTTTGTTAACTCAAAATGAATTCCTTGAAGATTTTTATTTTCCCTTTCTCCTAAAAATCATCTTTAGATGCTGTGAATACTGTACCTATATTCCAGGTCCAGCAAGAAGCAAAATCATCTACCACTGTTTAAAATCACGAGGAAATCACAGACACTCCCCACCCCCACCAGAAGCACACCCACCTGTGTACTTCTCCATGCTAAACTTTAAGGCAGCAGCTCTTAAAGTGTGGTCCACAGACCCCTAGGAGTCCCAGCAACCCTTTAAAGGGAGTCTTCGAGTTCAATGCTCTTTCTAATGATATTAAGATGTTATTTCCCTTCTTCACTGTGTTGACACCTTACACTGATGGTACAAAACAGCAGTGGCTGAAACTGCCAGCCATCGCCTTGGCACAGATCAGGTCGTTGGTCCCTGGACAGACAATACTAGTTGTTGTGTTCTTCACCAATATGCAGTTGCAATTTAAAACACGTGCGCGCACGCACACACACACACACCAACCTGTTTCACTTAATATTATCCTTAATTAAGCAGTAAACATTATTAATTGTTTTCATTCTCAACCCTTGATGACACATCTTTTAGTATTCTGTGTGATGGAATGGGAGACACACTAAAAACACTCCTGCAGCACACCGAAGCGGGGTAATTGTCTCAGGAAAAGCACTTTTGCGACCGGTTGTGTTGTGAGCTGAGCTAATACCTTTCATGGAACACCATTTTTACTTGAAAAAAACAACTGACTTATTCAGACTTGGGCATTTGACAGACATTTTTTAGAAAATGAATGAAGTTAGCCTATCATTTCAAGTAAAATAACTGAGAGTATTTGCTGCCATTGATAAAATTTGAGCTTTCAAGTGAAAATCAAAATTGAGGAAACTTGTGTCTGCCCGCCACTGTGAGCTTGTCACTTCCCAGTACTCAAGACTTCTGATGAGATCAAGGTGATATTAATGAATATGATTTCCTTAATGTTGTGTAATGAAACGTGCCAACATTTGAAGATCTGTATAACTTAGTTATGCACTATGTTCCATGATGTCACAAAATCGTAGGTGGGTAAAAGATCCATTCAAAGTACAGGATAGACCAATAAATTTTAGTGTAACAAAGTACGAAAAGGTCATTGGTAGGGTTTCCATTCCACAGTGAACTAACTTGTAAGAAACTACCACTTGTCAAGTTTTGGTGTAGTAACAAAAATATCTACAATTATCTATAAAATACGGCTCCCCTTTCCACCTACGTTTCCGTGTTAGGCCAGATTTTCTTCATATACTTCAACCAAAACAACCTATAGTAGCAGTTCAAATGCAGAAGTAGATGCATGTCTTGCTCTCTTTTATTAAGGTATACTAAAATACGTTAACATGTAATGGGTTTGTTATTGATGTTTTAAGATGAATTAATAAATAAAATATTTGTTAAAATTTTTTAGTTTTATTTTCTAATGTGGTAAATATTGATAGCTATAACCACATAAACAAAGTCTCTTTGGGATCCTCAAGAATCTTAAGATGGTAGAAACTAGTTAAGGTTGCAGAAACCACGCCCCCTCCCCCACTAAATCAGAACCTACAGTTGAACAGGATCTTCAGGTGATGGTCCCGTACAGTAAAGGAGCACCGCCTTCAGGAGCTTGTGGAAGCAGATTCAGGCAGGGAGTGCCATGGTGGTGGACATCCAGTGGGAAAGTGAGCACAGAGGGAGAGAGTGCTGAGAGGCTCCAAGACACAGAGCCCTTCTTTCCCCAGATGTTTCCCCTCTTTTCTTCCTCTCCTGTGTTCCACTGTTTCCTTTTAGAATGTATTCTCTTACCGTTTAGATGTTCGAAAGTGTCTGGAGGTCTGATAGAAATCTGGGCTCAGAGAGAGTAGGCTGGTCACTCAGGACAAGAAGACCTGGTGGAGACGCAAGCCTGCAGCATTGTTCACAGTCTTTCAGAGCAAGGCTTGTTGGTCCAGGCTTATTCCTGTTACTGGAAAATTTTATACCATGTTCTCACCTTGGCTGTGGTTTGCTCTTGTCTCTGAAGATAACCACGATTGGTGTAAAGTTAAGATAGAAAGATGTATACAAAAGGAATTCCACTTAAATTTTAGTATGTTTATCTCAAAAGCAGTTTTCACCTTTTAATTCCATCCTCTCTTTGGATGCGTAGACAGTTGTATCAAAAAACACACATGTGCTCTGTCCTCGTGGGTGATCACTTGGGACGTTGCCTGTGTGAAGCATTTATGAAATTAACCAGAGGCAGACATTTTATACGTTTTCAGTGAGGTTAGCTGTTCAGTCTGAAATTCGTGACTAAACAAAGTATGTTTGGATTAAGTGAACAACCAGATAGTTTAATATAAACTGTTGTAACAAAATCTCCATTTCTAAGCCCTAATAACTTTATTTTCTTTTTGTTTTTAGGGTGAATCTGTAAAATATTTCCTGGATAACTTGCATAAACTTGGAGAACCAGTAAGTTTTTAAACTGAACGTTTATGTTTATTGCCATTTGAAAGCAGTGGTCAGGATATTGATGTTAGGAAATTTAGAAAAATTATGTATTTGCTTCTTCCTTTTTCCTAGTGGCAGTATTCTGACTATTCCTGCTGCATTTTTTCTCCCTCTACCGTCCAGATCTCTGCCATTTCCTTGCAGAATGCCCTATATTCAAGAAATCCACTATTTCTTGAAAGTAAAGTTGTTTAGAAAAAGAAGTTTATGTTTGAAAATGAGATTGCACATTATCTAGTCTACTTCAGTGTCTTTTGTATTTTTTGTAAGCAGAAACAGAAAGAACACAGTGGGTTAACTGATTTCAAAACCTTTCAGCAAACAGTATTTTCCTGTTTGAAAGCCCTTTGTATTGAGTTACAGCATAGGATGGCTAGATTCTCAAGGCCTGCTGAACCAACTCCATGATGTAGGAGAAGGGATGACCCTTGGAAGGAGAGTTTATGGTTTTCCTGCAGTGTATCCCTCAGAGCCAGCAACTCTCAGCTGCCACTATGGCTAGCTCTGGCTCCCAGGCCTGCTGCAGGCAGGGCAGTGCCACTGTCTGTTCTCCGTGTTGGAATCATGAGAAGACTTCATTGAAAGAAAGATTTCTGCTGCTTAGAACATGTTTGAATACCATTGCCTTAGAGTCATTTGTTACCTACTAAATTTCGTACGGCTTCATTTGCCTCCTCTTACAGCAGATTTCTATTATAAATTTTAATATGGTCTTATGGGTTCTTTGAGGTTTTTAACTTTAAAAATAGGACTGAAGGGAAGCACAAAATGAAACCCGTTGCAGGTAGGAAAGCCACGTACTAATGTATCTAGGACATGTGAAAAAGTACCTTCTTTTTGCTTTATCAGGATAATGTTTGCACTTTCCCTTATTTTGTATTTTGCTGAATTGCATTTGTCTGCCCTTAAGCCAGTATGTTTTTCTCCTGCCTGTTTCGTAGGCACAGGTGTTCCAGAAGTTGGGATCTCTATACTTCTCTAGTTTTACTCACTCAGTCCACATCAGTGAAACCTTGTATTAAGACTTATTCATTGTCACTTTTCCATCTGGTCAGATAGTTAGCCTTAAAAAAAGCTAAGTATAGGCCAAATGGAGAGAAGCCTTAGTAGATAAACTAATTTTTGAGAGTTATTTCATGTTTTCCAATCCAAACAGTGCTGCCTTGACCGGCTCTTCTTACTGTGCATTTTCAGATAGGCCTTTCTTGAGCACACTGTTCAAAGTAGGTCCCCTCCTCTTGTTTTCATTATCAGCCCTTGCTTTTTCAGACTTCATTGCTCTTATTACAGTTGGCTTATTTATTTATATGTTTATTGGTCTTTTACCCACCTCTTTCCATAAGGGCAAGGACCTCATCTCTTGACTGTGAAGAGCTGAGTTCTTGATGCCTAGTGACAATGCCCGGCATGTAGTAGGCACCCAACAAATAGCTTCTGAATGACTCCAGGCTGACTCCAGTCAGTTTGTACTAGCTGCTTAGCATCTTATGTTGAGAACAATTCTGAGACCCTATCTGGAATAAAAAGAAAAAAGTGTTGTGATCAGAAGGTAGTTGTAAAGGAGCAGAGAATAAACCCTGGTGTACTATAGGTTGGCCACCCATTCAGACAAGTCACAGGATTGCTTTTGCTTCTCCATATCTGACTGAAGTAGCAGGGCCATTGAAGCCCTGCTGTGTGCCAAACCCTATGGCCTCTGGGAGGTGGAATAGCACTGGGGTCAAGGACATGGGTTCTGCAGCCGGACCACCTGGGTTCCAATCCCAGTTCCATCACAGACTGGCTCAGATTGGCTCTTTGTGACCTTAGGCATCTCTAAACCTTGGTTTCTTCATCTGTATCATGGACATAGTAAGAGAACCACCCTCATAGGGTTATGGGACGATTACATGAAATAAATCCCTTGTCTTGGTCAGCTCGGGCCGCCAAAACAAAATACCACAGACTGGGTGGCTTAAACAGCAGGCGTTTATTTCTCACAGTCCTGGAGGCTGGGAAGTCCAAGTTCAGTGTGCCAGCATGTTTGATTTCTGGTGAGGACTCTTCCTGGCTTGCATACTGTGGCCTTCTCACTGTGTCTTCCCATGGCTTTTGCTCAGCACTACATGTGGAGAGAGAGAGAGAGGGAGAGAGATCTAGCATTCTTCTTCTTATAAGGCCACCAGTACTATCTGATTAGGACCCCACCCATAGAACCTCATTTAACCTTAGTTACCTCCGAAAAGCCTTATCCCCAAATATAATCACATTGGGGGTTAAGGGCTTCAACATAGGAATTTTGAGGGGGGGAGGGGAGGACGGCACAATTCAGTCCATAGCACCCAGTAAGGTGTTCAGAATGGTGCCTTGCATGTAATAAATTCTCAGTGTTAGCTGTTTTGTTCTTTGATCCATGTATTTAAGGAACTAATTCTAGTCAGAGACAAAACTAACATAAATAAAACAAACAGAGGACAGTTAAATGATACTGATCATGAAGATAGTATTAGTTCACAGAGTGGAGAGAGATGATTTGGCTGGAGAAGTTGGAGCTAGCCCATAAGAGTAAGTAAATCTGAATTGCCTGAGGGATGGATGGGATTTAGATATTTAAAGTGGAGATGTGGCCCACCGAGATGGGATACAGCTGGATGTGTTTAGTCTTAGAAGGCATGTCTGCGTGACAAAGGTTATGTGAAGTTCTTGGCTCTACCTTATAAACACAAATTTCTAGAAGGCAGTAGCTTGGGTTGGATGCACCGTTCATTGCACTTGCACTGCTGTGCAAGTGAACGGACATGTGATGGTATGAAGACGTGCAGCTTTGGGCAGGTCTTGATGCTAGGCTCTGTGGGAAGCCTGCACAGTGTGGAACCACCCACCGGTTTGGTTCCAGGAAACAGGGAGTAAGGAGGGTCATGAAAGCCAGTCAGCCACGTTTGGACCTGATGCAGTGAGGAACCGCACCATAAGTTTTGAAGTTACAATATAGGAAGGTTAGCCTGGGAATGGCTTAGAGATGGATCCAAGAGGTGTGAGACCTCCAAGGCAGAGAAACTAGTGAAGAGATGGTAATCCATGCCTGAGGTGAAAAAGATGGGGACAGTGGAAATAAAGAGGAAAGGGAAAATGTCAGAAAGATTCAAAGAAGGAGCAACAGGATTTGATAGAAAATAGGAGACAGTAGAGAAGAGTCCAAGGTGATAGGGAGGCATAAAGAATGCTGGGATTGTTGGTGGGGCAAGAAGTAGAAAGGAAAGCATACTACTTGGACTCACAGGAGTTGAGGGAGAAAATGAGTTCTTATTGAACATCTTGTGTTTGTAAATAGATTGTCAAGTGCAAGTGAACGGTGAGCATTTAAAAATGAGAGACTCAAGACTCGAATGGAAGTTTACGTTGGTCTCACAGCCTTCTTGATTTCCCTCTTTACAGCATTGGCGATGGTGGTGGCCACAGTGGTGGTGGTAGACACAGTAGGAACAGCTAGACTGGTAACACATAAACTATATGCCGAACACGGTTCTTAAGCACTTCACCCATTTAACTTATTTAGTCCTGGCAGCACCCCTATGAATGTTATTGTCTGTATTTTACAAATGAGGAAATTGAGATACAGAGAGGTTAAGTGACTTGTCCAAGGTCACACAGCTAGTATGTGGAGAGCTGCCTTTAGAATTCACAGTCCTGGGGCCGGCCCGGTGGCGCAAGCGGTTAAGTGCGGGTGCTCCGCTGCGGCAGCCCGGGGTTCGCCGGTTCGGATCCCGGGCGCGCACTGACGCACCACTTGTCAAGCCATGCTGTGGTGGCGTCCCATATAAAGTTGAGGAAGATAGGCATGGATGTTAGCCCAAGGCCAGTCTTCCTCAGCAAAAAGAGGACGATTGGCAGATGTTAGCTCAGGGCTGATCTTCCTCACAAAAAAAAAAAAAAAAAGAATTCACAGTCCTAATCACTGTTACTCTGCCAGACCAGTTAGCACTTGATTGAATTGTCTTGTGTTTTGTGCCTCATGTGAATTAGTCTTTAGCCTCCTAACTAGATTGTTAACTCCTAATTAAGGCAATAACAAAGAACTTTTTATTTTTATGGAATTAGAAAATTTAAAAGAAAAACAACAACTCAGGGCTGGCATGTTTTTGAGGCAGCTGGCACACATATGCGTTGTAAGTTGATACCACCTTTCTGGAAAGCAATTGGTCATTAAGTCCAGGGTCATCAAAATGTTCATAACCTTGACCACGTAATCTTATTCCTGGTTATTTAGTCTCAGGAAATAGTCCAAAAGTATGTGCATGAGAAATATGTGCAAGAAGAGAAAAGTATGTGCATGAGAATTTTAATTGCAGCATTTCTATTAATTAAAGCAAAAAATTGGAAACAACCTAAATGACCACTAGTAGGGGAATGTGTATGTAAACTATAGCACTTTAATCCATTTGATGTATTTTATACTCTTAAAATGCAATACAACTGTATCAGCATGTGGAACAGTTCTAGATAAAATGTTAAGCAGAAAAGCGGGGGCAGGCTAAAAATTGTGTAGGTATGCTGATTATGAGTAAAGGAGGTGGCTATGTGAACAAAAGCTAGGAGGAAGCATGGAAACACCAACACATTTATGAGAGTCCTCAAGCTATTTAATAAATGCTGTGGGTTACAGATATCTGAGAACTGCCTGTTTTTTTTTTTTTTTTTCTTAATTCCATTGCACCATTTTGAGGAGATAAGTATTACATTGTAATGAAATTTTAAAATCCTATTACACTATTTGGAAAGGCATAGAATAGAGGATTGTGAACAACAATCGACATTGTTTTAAAATCTTGCCTCAATTGAAAAAAGCATTTTGACCTTGATGATGAGCATTAAAAGCTCTTCTGTTCAGTATTGCCAAAAAGCTGTGTCAAAGTTTTGGAAAAATACTAGCCTAGGAAGAAAGAACTGAGTTACGTTGCATAAGGAAGAGCGCTGTCGGGGTCGCTGGTGACTTATGAGACCAGCAGCTTCTGTCTGTTCAGGGGCTTGTAGTTGACTGGTCGCGGTCACAGAGAGGGGCACATTTGATCTTTGCGTAAACTCGCCCTCCAAGGCAGGTAGGCCAGGTATGGTCACCTTCACTTCACAGCCATAGGTGTTGACAGAGTAAGTGACTGCTTGTGTCAATAGATGAGAAAGCTGGAACACAGCCACTTAGACTACCTGGAGACAAACCTAGGAAGTGGCCCAACGTAAATCTGTTTAATTAGTTGTAGTAGAGGAACTGTTTTCCACACATGTAGTATAGCAGCAGTGATAACATGGGGTGATCTGTATAGAAGTTCTTAGTTATGAAGGCGGGTGCACAGTAAAGGAATGTTTAGAATGGGCTAGAGAGAGACGGGCAGAACCTTGAACTGGGAAGTGATCCTCACAAACGGGCATTTCAAACCTCATTGCTTTTAATAGAGCAAGGAACAGGGGGATGTGCCAGCAGGAGGGTCACTGCTGGAGCTAAGAGTAGGTAGTGGTAAGAAATAATTACAGATACACAGCAGTGGGCGGGGGCATAAGGGCAGTTGGTGGATAAGACTTAAATTTGAGTAGTATTGCAGGGTGAAAAAAATAGTAGGTGCTGCTCATTTGCAGTGAATTTTGAACCAGTCTTTGTACACTAACATTTTAATATATCTTGGCATTTTATAATGAGTGTAATAATGGTATTGATGCTTTAATGTTATCAGGAGATGTTGTTAGGAAGATAATTTTATTTGCATGTTCATTCACTAGACCAGTTAATAGTACATTAAAAATTCTAATTACTTCTGGGTTACTGAGTATAAAACAGTTTTTTTCTTTTCCAGGATTACATTCCATCACAACAAGATATTCTGCTTGCCAGAAGACCCACCAAAGGCATTCATGAGTATGACTTTGAAATTAAAAATGTTCCTTTCAAAATGGTTGATGTAGGTGGTCAAAGATCAGAAAGAAAACGTTGGTTTGAATGCTTCGACAGCGTGACGTCGATACTTTTCCTTGTCTCCTCAAGTGAATTTGACCAGGTGCTTATGGAAGATCGACTGACCAATCGCCTGACAGAGTCTCTGAACATTTTTGAAACAATCGTCAATAACCGGGTTTTCAGCAATGTCTCCATAATTCTTTTCTTAAACAAGACAGATTTGCTTGAGGAGAAAGTGCAAATTGTGAGCATCAAAGACTATTTCGTAGATTTTGAAGGGGATCCCCACTGCTTAAGAGACGTCCAAAAATTCCTGGTGGAATGTTTCCGTAACAAACGCCGGGACCAGCAGCAGAAGCCCTTGTACCACCACTTCACCACCGCTATCAACACAGAGAACATCCGCCTTGTTTTCCGTGACGTGAAGGATACTATTCTTCATGACAACCTCAAGCAGCTGATGCTACAGTGATGTACAGAAGACTTGCTGTTTTAATATCTTTGTCTTTTTGATTGTTTTCTGTTTGTTTTGTTTTGTTTTTTAAAATAGCAGTTTATAACAGGAATTAGAAAAATCTTGATTCTGTCTTTAACTTCTTGGAAATTTTAGTCCTTCTTCTTCAGACTTGGGTTTGTGGCTGAAAGCTGCTGAATGACACATCGCCAGTATCTGCTGAAGTTCAGGCTTTGATCTGTTCCACTGTGGCTTCCATTCCAGTTGAGTTGTAATTTCCTGCCAGAACTCAAACTAGGTATATTTCAGGCTAAGTTCTTCCCCTTTTCAAACTGACTTCTCCTGTAGTGCCAAGTATAGAAGGTGTCCTTAAATATTTGTAGGTATGAGCTTAAGAATATTCAGTTCTAGAACAAGTAAGATAGCTCTTGTCTGCCCTACACAGCAGTGACACTGGTGCTGCTTTATGGTGACCTATTTTGAAAGGGCTGTTGGAAAAAAAGTTTGATGTAGCGGATGGCATTCTGTAGATTTACACAGGTTTAGCCTTCGTATTTTTTTAATTGCTTATAAATACAACAATTGTTTTGTTTTAAAATTTCTGTGGTTTCTGAAGGTAATGTTCTTAGTGTTTTAAAGTTTACATAAGGATTTCTGGTCTGATGCTAATGAAAGTTCACAAATGGTACGGGGAGAGCAAAAGGCAAGCCAATGCCATATATAGTGTTATGATCAAAAGGAATGAGTGAAATATAATTTGCCCTTTGCATATTTAAAATTACAAACAACTTGATAACAGAACTTTCTAAATAAACATACCCTTTCCAGAATGTTATGTGTTTTACTCTCAGACTTTTAAATCCTGTCTCAGATGATTTTGGTCCTCACTGTAGGAAATCATTGTTGCACCATCACAGCCATCTTCTTTTTGCTCTCCTGTCTGTTCCCATCAACTCCAGACTGTGGCATTTATGGGACTTTTCTTATTTATTTGGAGCTTGCCAAGGGTGGTATTTTCCTGTCCGACTATTAAAGAAGGCATTATTTGAGATTCCTGTTCATTTTTGGTGTGTCTCTAAAAAATACAGTATGTACATTTTTGTGTCATTATTGTTTATGAAATTCCAGCTTTATGGAGGTATATTTTGAATGTTTTGAGGATACTTCTAAGAAAATGAGTAGTAATTTTTTTTAGTTCACACCAAAAGATGACTACATTTGACCTCCCCCCACCTCTTACCAAATTAAAACGGGCCTGTGAAGTAGCTTTGTGATTACAGATACAGTGATAGTGAACTCATCAGAATGGCTGGTTTGCAGTCCTAAAAATACTGCTTTGTAGGTTAGGTGTAGTGTTAGAATTGGATTAGAGAAACAGATGCACAAGGCTGGTGACAGTTTGGAAAATCTGACAACTTTTGTCTTTTTCCTGAAAATTGTGATTAAGACTGTGATATCTGTCACTTTACTGTATAACTGACTGTGTTCTCAGGAATTTTATTGGCTAGAAAGTCCTTGAAAGATTGGTCAACATTATGGATCACCAGCCTTTCCAAGACAATGGCTCTTGGTCTGTCTTGCTGTCTACTGTGAGAGTAGGGCTTTTCAGAAAGTGAGCTAACCAGGGATTGTTCCTAATGTACCTTTTCTTGCATTTGAAGTTCCACCATCATCATATCTGTAGTAACCTCCAGTGGCGTCATGCCTTCGTAATACATGAGCTACAGACATGTAGCCCCACATCATAATGCAAGTGTTCATAGTATAGTTCAGGTATGTTTGAGTAGTTCTATGTCTAGTGCTTCTTGCCAGAAAGAATACGTTGTTTAAATTCACAGAGTTAGAAAAATTTCAGTGCTAGTGACTATCTGAAAATGTACACAGTAACATTTAGACTTTTTGGTGGAGACTGTGTGTAAATTTAGCAAATAGTTTTATTGAATGGCCAAAACATCATTTAACTCCAGTGAAGGTTAAAGTAAGTTCCCTGTATAAAGAGGAAGCTTAGTCTTATTTGTTATATTTAAGATCTGTGATATGAACCATAAATATTGCCTGACAAAGCAGAAATCACAAAGTTTCCTTATTTTGACTACTACCAAGAAATGTTAAAACACCAAATAGATACAGTATTATTTTGGGCGTTTGCAATTTTCTTTTCTGATGTGTGTGATGTCTCAGAGTCAACATTCTTTTAAGATTTAGGGTATATTTTGAGGTAATAAATTACTTATATTTAATGGCAGGCTTGTTTAGACACTCAGTGAAACTATAAGGTTCAATCTGAAGGCTTTAGTTCATGTTTTTTATATACTGTATTTTTAAACCATTTGCAGGAGTCTTACACCTATCTCATGAAAACTGGATCCTTTTGAAATACCACTATATGAAGAGGGAGATGAAATTTAGTGAGCAAAATTGAAAAGGTGTGCATAGTTTCCACTATGCCAATTTCCCCTATCTCTAAAAAAGTATATTTAATAAAGTTCTTTGGTGTGCTTGATTTTTTAGGTCTTCATGGTTGTGATTTGGAATAAAATGTGCCTAATTCTCTTTTTACATTCTGTTCTTCAATCTGAATGTCTTCTCATTTGATTCTTGAGAAATGTCACACAAGTGTCTTCATTGACCTTGAAGATATTTGTAATATACAGAGTTGCCTTATAAATCAAAGAACACCACATATTTGGGCCTTGATTTTAATAGGGAAAAGTTTTTGTCAAATGTTTTCTGAAGATCCAAATAATTTAAGGCATGCCTCTGCCACCTTAAATGTTATGTTTAATAACCTAATCGTTGTCTTCTGCCAAATATTGTATTAAATTGAAATCTCCATTCCAATTTTACTGTCTGGAAAGGGCACTTGATAGCTGGAGAGTAACCACAACTGGAGAAGGCAGTGTGGAGTGAAAAAGATCATTTGTTTCTGTTTTGTTTTCTTTGAAGTTGCATTGGCGTCTATCTTACATAGTGAAGATCTGCTGGTTAATCTCTCAAGTGAGGTTGTTTAGGGAAATCCTTGCTCGGTTGGTGGCAGTGGTTGGTTTAAAGTAAAAGGAAGTACGGTTATCTTCATACCAGAAATAATTAGAAGTATTGATTTAGATTCAACAGAAATCATATGCCCTATAATTTTTTGTAAGAGTGAATAAATTAATCTTAACTTCCAGTGTATACCCAAATACTTGTGTTTATGCTTTTGATAAAATGTATTTTCAGCATTAGTACACATATCCGGTTATGCCTTATTTATATGAAGAATAAAGTTACCAAGTTATGTTCTGTTATGATCTGAAACTCAAATCACTAGTTGAGAAGCCCTCAAATGGGTGCTTTGATTATATAATGATACATTTAGACAAAACCCCAAACCAAGCCATTTGAAACAAGATTCTCTCCATTGCAATTTGTAGCAATGTTATTTCTGTATATGTAATGAGAAGGCTAAATATCAGTGTGAACTCTTAACTTTTTGTTTGAATCCATGAAATCATGCCTGTAAAGCTCAAACGTTTGTAACAAACTCCCTAATAAATCTAGAGGAAGTCACTCTGTTACCTTTTCATTTCTTTCAGTTTTGAGGTATCAAGATGACAAATTTTGCACGTCTTTTTCATTTGGAAATCTGACTTAGTACCCAGTCACTTTCTCTCTCTTTCCCATCATTTCAATATATTAAATTCCATTAGTCACAAACAATCTGTCCGTATGTTGTGCTGCTTGACTAAAAGTCCTGATTTTTTTTTAACGATGGGATATAGATCAGCTTTTCAGTCTAGTAAGCGTGAGGAAAGGAGGGATTGTATGTGAGTGGGTGTGTATGTGTCTCCATGTTCCAAATAAAGTAAATAATGTAGTACATACGCATTATTTTACGGTACGAGGTTAGGCTTCATAAATTTGTGCTAGAGATTGAAGTATAAAACGTTTTAAACAAGTTGGACTTTATGGCTTTTTCAAGTACCATCAGTCGATATTAGCCTTAGGCTGGTAAGTGATGATTAACATAATTTGAAGTACAGTGTTTGTACCACTAGCATTCTTATGTCTGTACTTGAATGTATAGTTAGCATTTAACAGTATGTTCCAATATGTTCATTCTTGTGGCATCCAGGTCTAACCATCTGATTTCAAATGCCAGAGCTTATGTGGAAAAAAAAGTGTTATGATAGGGCAGTATTTTCTGGGTTGATAAGAGATTCTGCGACCTATCCATATCTGCTATTGATAATGATGAAAATTTCCAGATGAATCAAAGTGTGCTAGGACCGACTATGCATCAGTTTTCAGTCAGTGAATGTCGTGATAAGAATATGCTCCTTACTTGGTATCTGACTTGGGTTTGTGTTTGGAAAGCCTGTGTGTAATAGTTCTTGCCATAATAAGTGATGCATTTGTCCTCACTCATGCCTATTTGATGGCACCAGGGAATAAAAAGGGAGGGGCGGGTAGGGGCTAATTCTTGGAAAGTATATGTAACAATGCAACAAACTACGCCATTACCCTTTCTTTACCTCTTTCTTGAAAGCAGAATCGCAAAATGTTTTAAATGGCTTTTCTATTCTACTCTAAAGTGAGAGCTCATTTGCCACAAGGAGTCTTATCAAAAAGTATATTTTGTAACAACCTCATAGATACTGTACCCAAAAAAACATGATTTGTATTAGCTCTGTATAAAAGTATCTGTGGCTTAGAATTTTTTATACATATATCTTTTTATAACTTTCCAGGAACTAAGCACATTATCTGATATTGTAAATTTTTTTCTGTCAGTGCTTTAGTTCAGGATTGGCAATAAATTATTTCTAAAGGAGGGCTGAAAGTGGAAAGAATGGTTTGATTTTATAAAATGAGTCACTAGTTCATTAAGGCTTTTTACTTTTGTATGTATTTTGCCAAATCTTTGCCTCTTGCTATTAATATTTGCTTTGTAAAAATTACTGACATTTAATAAACTTTTATAAACTATTCAATACTACGATGTTATTTAAACTAACAGTTCGGTAAATGTAAAGTGTAAAGCAGATACTTAGTTTAAAGTTTGAAAGCAAAAGTTTCATCTAGTGACTTAAAGCACAGAAATCTCTATTTCAGCAGATCTCCAACAATACTTTGCCTTAATATTAGTCTATAAACTTTTCCTTATTAAAGATGGAGTGGTGGACTTCATCCAAGGGAGTTCCCAGACACTTAGTACGTTTTGACATGGGCATGGGGAAAGGGGAACCACTCATTTTTCTCTCCGCTCCTCTTAAAATTGCTGAAGCCTCACGAGGGTGTTTCCAGGCTCATGGTTTGTCCGCCTGCGGGAGCAATGCTGTCATGTCTATTGTAATTGGAATGGTGTTTTTAAAACAAACGAACGTCACCACTCATTTTTTGTTTCCGTAAATTTTATTTTAGACTGTGACTTACAAATTGCAAAGATAGTAGAGTTCCCCTGTCCCCCACACCCATTATAATAGTTTCCCCAATTAACATCTTGTGTTGGTATGGGACATTTGTCATAATTAATGAACCAATATTGATACTTTATTATTAACTAAAGCCCATACTTTATTCAGATTTCCTTAGCTTTTCCCGTTCCA